GGTCCGCAAGTAACATATCGCTGAGACCCTGTTAGAGCATTTGTTTAGTTTTTCCGAGCCGATCCTACATTTGCCGCGATTTGTTCGTCGGCAGAAAGTTCGACAATGGAAAGTGTGGTACTTAATTTATCTTACCCCTGACGTCACGACAACTTCACGGGAGACATTCCCAATAAATTCTAGGCTGTTCAGGTTGTAGTTTCTTGCTATTTATCTACAGCCAATTTTAGGGTTAGGGTAAGCATTAGAAGACACTAGATGAACACTCAAAAAAAGTACCACACAACAGCACACTTCCACCCCTTGAAATAATGGACTGTCAGGTCAGCTGTGGATTTCCCACGGGGATTTCGTGTTTGGGGTACGTTATTAATTAAGAACCTGTCAACGGTCGCTATTATTATCATCTGCTACAATCGTCTGCAGTGTTGCGTGCGTCTCTTAGAATTGTCAGGTAATCAGAAACAATAAGAAACAGGTCCGCACGTAACATATCGCTGAGACCCTGTTAGAGCATTTGTTTCGTTATATGGAGCCGGCATATTTTTAATATAACTGATCCCCATTCGGGGGACTGAGCCTCGAGAGGCAGGGGGTAAGAAGTGTTGGTGTTGTGGGTAGTGGGTTCCCCCCCCTTACTTCACCCTAGGTCTAGTGAATATCTGTTCACGAAAGGAGCGTCCATTGTGGTGTCAGCCTCTTGACCTAGCAAAACCTCTCTTACCTCAAGACCATTGTGCGTGGCGAAGAGTCACAGCCTCCCCGAGGTAGTCCCGGTAACTGGGGGTGCGAATCCCCAGGCAAAACACAATGGATCTAGAGGAGCAAACCTCGATAATAAACCCGGTGCACCACACCGTACTGCCCCCTGTGGGAGGGAAGGAGCCAGAGGTGTGCTGAACAGTCTTAGGAATGGAAACAAGTATGCTAACCCCCCTGAATACCGGAAACTATCGTGAAGGCACAGGGACTCAGGACGTGACGATCCAGTTGCCCCAACTACTCATGCTTAGGCCATGCTTAGAGACATGAAGAGCTCAGCGAAACCTGCAGGCAATCTGGTGGCGGGGAATGAGCACACTGTGAGCCCCACCTTAGCTACGTGTTAAAGGGAAAGGCAGAAACACAACCCATATTTCCTTTAGAACTGGTACAGGGCATTTCTAGCTGCTGCCCGGGGAGGTAGGTAATCCACAGACACCCCATTCGGATATTTTTGGTAATTTTATGGCCAGAATGGCTCTCCTCCGAACGGCATCATATTATGGCCTCCATATTATGATGCCGTTCGGAGGAGAGCCGCGTTGTCAGATACTCTGTTTCCCCCGAATTCCTCTTTTATTTTTGTCCCCACCCACTTATTCTTATGGGATTAAGTTTAATATGGTAAATACATACTTGATATAACACCTTAGTGAAAAATGTCGTTAGAAACAAACATCAGGTCATCACTCTGTTTTTTTTTAATGTAGAGAATCTGGCAATCTGAACATATAGTCTGAAAAAGAAGCCACTTTTTGCCGGTTAGTACCTAGTTAAGCCTGTCATTGCTTTCTAGAACTTTATAACAGTAATTAATGATTAGTGAGAAATGTTATCACATCATATTAATGTTGCCAAGTGACATAATTAAAAGATGATCAGAGAACTTGGGGGATCTGTATGATGATAATAGACCAGAGGTATATTTGCAGGACAACAGTGAAGGCCCACCAGTACTGGCTGTAGAATGGAGGATGCATTGCATAACATGAAGAAAAGAAACCTGGGCCAGACATCATCACGCTAGAAGAAACTGATGCTTTGGGATATTTTGGAATTGAAAAATAACAAAATTATTAAATGGCATCCTAATGACCTATTCATATCTATATGTATTGCTCTGCCAAAGAAACTAGGCACTTTAAAATGCGAAGACTATTGCACAGTAACTTTTATGACTCCTCTGACAAAAATGTTACTAAGAATAATTATGAGAAGAATAAGAAATAAGTTTATAACAGAAATTAGTGAAGAACAATGTGGATTTGTAGAAACAAAAAGTACAACCAATGCCATATACATCCTTGGGACTCTTTCGGAAAGAACTGAAGAAGTTTAAAAAAAAAAACAACCTATCTTTAACTATTTAAATACGCTTAATTGACTGTACGTACGCATTTGATGGTGTGAGACATGAAGAAATAATCAAACTACTAGAAAAGTAAAACATTGATGGAAAATATTTCTGAATTATAAAGAACATCTATTGGCAGCAAACAGCAGCTATAAGAATTAATAACCATTTGGGAAAATTTCAGAGCATAAAGAGATAAGTATGACGAGGATGTGTACCATCACCTGATTTTTTTGCATTATACAGTGAATATATAATGAGATCTATCATCCATATGCCAGGAATTGTGACTGGTGGTCATAACAGGAACAACATGTGGTATGCTGATGGCACCGTCTTGATAGTGACAAGTCAGAAAAAAACTACAGGCATTGATAGAAATGGTATTGGTATAAAGTGATAAAATGGGTCTCAGTTTGAAAAATGGGAAGACAGAAGTAATGGTGATTTCCAAATAAAAAACTAATGCCTAAATGTGTTGAAAAAAAAATGCCAGTATTTTAAGACAGGTACCAAAATTTAAGTATCTAGCCACATGGACAACATCGGATGGAAGATGTATCACAGAAATAAAGAACAGAATAGGACAGGCCAAAACTTTTAAATAAAATAAAGAACAATTTGTGCAATAAATCCATGTCAGAGGAGCCGCTGGCCAAATGGTTAGAATGATGGGCTCTCAAGTGGGAGACCCGGGTTCGAATCCTCTGTAAGGCTGGAAATTTTTTCTATTAGGGGCAAAAAAAAATCCTCCCCTGCACAGTCGTGGCGACAGCACTAGCTATGCGGCTGTAAATCCTCAGGCTCAAAGACCCCCCTGCCTACTTCATGAAAGTGGTATAGTAAAAGCATTAATTGGCAGTTTTTTAAATGGCAATCCATGTCAGGTTAGGAAAAGAAATCTTGCAAGCTCTATATAGAGCCAGTTTTAACATATAGCTGTGATTTCTGGACAATTAATAGACAAGCTGAACAGTATCTTGAGGCCTCTAACATGGTTTTACAGAAGAATCCTTAGAATTCCTTGGACAGCTAAGAAGAGCAACTCGGATGTTTTGAAAGAGACAACTTATCAGAAACATCAGAAAGAGATGGTTATAATTAGCTGGTCCTGTTGTGAGAGAAGGGAAACTCACTGGGAAGAGAGACAGGGGAAGACGGCACGAGAAGATTCCTTACTTACTTAGTCGCTCCTCTTCTACCTTGGGGTGTAGAGGTTTGCCAGAGAGATCGCCAGACGTCTCTATCAGCAGTTTTCTTTCTGGCTTTGTTCCATTCCAGTCCTCTGTCAGTTAGGGACTGTCGGATGTTGTCTTCCCAGCGCACCCTGGGTCGTCCTGGAGGTCTGGTTCCCTGGTTCTTAGCCTCCCATGCCTGCCACGGTGGCAGATTTTCAACCCATTCTGCATACATGTCCAAACCATCGTAACTGTGACTGATCCACTCGGGTTTGTAAGGACTGGGTATCAAGATCTTGATGTATTGTCTGATTGCGGACTTTGTCCCTTCTTGTCACTTGGACCACCTTTCTCAGATATCTCATTTCCGAGGCCTGCAGCTGGCTTCTGAGAGCTGTTGTCATTGCCCATGACTCACACCCATGAGAAGATTCCTGACAGCCTTTTATCATGCCATGGAGGGGTGTCCACACACGAACTGACACATGCAGTAGCGGATTGTGTAGGGGCATGATGGCCCACGCCAGTTGGCGAGGCGCTTGATATTGGTCATCACAGCACTTGGGATAGACTCATAGGTGCTCTGATCTCCTCCATAAAAGCTCCAGAAGAGTAAAATGACTGATCACGCCCCTTCTATGTTAATTAGTCAAGGCCAGGTTGCACCCTCCTGCAAACCAATGTGAATTAGGCTACTAAGTCTGGCTTGTTTTGATCTTCTTCACAATATGCCTCTTGCATGGCATTAATGGCATCACTCCTGTCCAGTGGCAGACCGGTGATGGTAACTGCCTTAACCACAAGATATTCTGCACACACATTGCTTTGAACACTTGCATAGCTTGGCACAAAAAAAAGGTTAGGCGAGTTATTTGTGATGCATTTAATGAGAATCTTTTTGTGTGTGATGAAATCAACCTGGATTTTCTTGAGTATGTTCATTGAATCACTAAGCTTTCACGCATTTGTTTTATAACAGTAATGAGACAGTTGATTACTAATACTAGTTCATTTATATGGTAACTTGTTTTGACACAGCAGTACTACTGCCAGTAATGTAACAAAACACTGGCCAGAACTATGGGGACATATTGGTACCTCTTTGAGCTCCATACTGTTATTAATTTAACCCTTTATGTAAATGCAGTGAATTGGCTAAACAAATAAATGTTGGGTATAAACTAAAATATGTTAGATTATCAAGAATAAGAAAAAGAAAAAACACAAATAAACTAAGAACCCATTTAATGAAAGGTCAACTGTTCTTCAGATTCACTGGCTGTAACACTGGTAGCAAGTTTTGGTTCTTTGTCAGCCTCAGGACTTAGTCTTGTTCCAGAACCTGAGTGTTGCTTGTACATTCCTTTGGCAGATCTGACTTATTTGTATGCAAATTGTGAGTTTCTTGTCTCTCAGGCAGATGCACTCTGACTTTGAGGGACGCCCCCAGTCAGTCGACTGTTTTAACATGCTTGTTGGGGAGGCAACTCCAATAGTAGTGCCCCGGAACCCACACGAGGAGGCAGCAGAACACAACCAATGTTGACTCAATGACCAGGCAGGATTTCAGATGCCATGCATGAATGAGGTTTCATAATTTTTACTGGTAACTTGTAAACATTCTGATTGAAAAATAGATCCAGTTTAAAAAAATGCTTGTTATCCATGATAATTGTGTGTACTGTTTTTCAGGTGGAGTTGACAGCATGTTTAAAATTGAACAAGACCAGAGAGTGTTGTTTGTTGGGTTGGTGTGTGTGGACCTTTTCAATGTGTTGCCAACTTTTCCAACAGAAGACCAGGGTCACAGATGCCTTGACTGCTACTGGCAACGAGGAGGCAATGCATCAAATTCAGCAACTGTCTTGTCTCTACTGGGTGGCAACGCTGAGTTCTTTGGCACACTCTCAGATGACAGGGAATTAGATTTTATTCAGAAAGATTTCAAAGAGTACAATATACACTTTGACAAATCTGTCATTATCCCTAATACATCGTGTCCAATGTCAGTTGTTATTATTAGCCAAGAGACCAAAACTCGAACCATTCTTCATACCAATAAAAATTTACCGGAATTATCCCTTAGCAATTTTGAACAGAAAATTGATTTGAACTCACCTTCTATACGGTGGACTCATTTTGAAGGCAGAGACAATGCTTATGAAATATCAAGGATGCTGACACACATAAATCAATATAACGAAGACAGAAAAAGTGCTGACATAGGATACAAACCAATAATTACATCATTAGAAGCAGAGAAACTTCGATTAGCTCCAGGACTAGACAAATATAATGTCTGGGAGCTCCCCGATGTAATGTTCATTAGTAAAGATTTCGCCAAAAGTCAGGGTTACAAAACAATGACAGAGGTTGTTTCTGGATATTTGTTGAAGCTTAAGAAAGGTGCTGTTGTAATATGTGCTTGGGGGGAAGAAGGAGCAGCAGCTAATTCAGAAGAAACAGGTATTGTAACTTCGTCTGCATTTCTACCAGAGACTGTACAAGACACATGTGGGGCTGGAGACACTTTTGTTGCTGCCACCATATTTGCTTTATCTCGGGGTCAGGGTCTCCTGAAAGCTATAACTTTTGGATGTGCTGTTGCAGGAGCAAAGTGTGGAATGCAAGGATTTAAAGGTCTTTCTAATGTAACAAGATTGGCTTAATTAAGAAATCTGTCAGAATAGCACACAGGATAAATATAATTATAATGGTTGTAACTATGGTCTCCCCGTAGGGGTCTCAGGGCCCCATTTTTTAGGGGAAAAGAATAGACACTCCCCCTTCCCCTCATCCTCGCAACAATCATGTCATAAAAGTAATCTAACTGGTAGTATATCCTGTGAAATCAGAGTGGATCTGCCTGAAATCTGCATACAAATCAAGTCTGATCAGTAAAACGGATGTGTATGCAATGCTCACATTCTGGGACAAGACTGAAGTCCAGATGTGGATGAATAACCAGAACTTTTCTGCTGAAGTTAACAGCCTGTAAACAGGAATGAGAAGAAGTAACTGCAGTAATTCCCCCCCAACCTCCAAAAACTACAAAAGAGATTGGAATGCATTTATTATTATGATTTGGACATGCTGAATTAGATAAACTCTTTCAGTCACTAGGAAAGCATGATAGGTGAATTATGTCTTTTTCTTAGTTGCTACCATCAAACATCTCATGAAGAACATATCACACAATTCAGCCAAATAAATCAAAATGAAAATTTGAAGAACCTGCATCTTTTCTGTGACAACATTTGAGCCGTTCCATAAATAATATAAAAAATAACTGAAACTTTGGAAATAATGACAGCTGCCAGGCTGACTCAGTCTTTAATTGGTGAGTCTTTAATTGGTGGAGCTTTTTTTCCTAGAAAAAAGGTGCTAGTACTCAACAGAAGTATCTAAAAAAAAAACTGTGCCAATAAAGGTTCTGGTACTGGTATTATTGCATACAGCTCACACATCGAAGGCTGTATTGCCTCAATGACCTGAAACTGTCTTCTATTTTAATGTGTAAATATCTATTTTATTTTAATGTCTTCTCGTGAAGGCAATTGTCTTTAAAAATTATGTTTCAATAATGAAACCTAAGATCTAGAAATGTGTTTTAGGTTGCGAATCATTACTTACAGACAATCAAATATTAAAATTTGGAAGAGCTGTAACTACAGAAACTGTCATACTGAAACATTAAGCACCACAATAGTTTAGGAAGAACAACAGTGAGAGGCAGGATTGCTGACAACTGAGATAGAAAAGTAAAGGTCCCTTTAGGCGTATTGGGCATATAGGGCTCGACCTACACTTTATAGACCAGTTGGCACTTGATGGGTTACATGGTCAACACCATGCGGACCACCTTTACTTCCCAGGACTGCACCTGGTACCCACTCAAGGCTGAGTCGACCTGGGAACAACTGAGATAGGGCCAGCCAAAAGTTTAGTGGACACAGGGTATTAAAAACAGCCTAGGTATTCAAATACATGATCCCTGTGTGGGTTCTAAAGCCGATTTGTGGGAAAAGTGAGAATAGACCCACTGCTTGCCCAAAAGGCTTTTTGTAGGAGTTGACTAATTGGGGGCATCCTTCAAATTTTGAGTGCATGTGCTTGATAGGCAAGGAACCAAGATTCTGCATCCAAATAAGGCAGATCTGTTTAACGAATGTGCACACAACACTCGGGTTCTGGAATAAGACTAAAATCCAACAGTGGATGAAAAACCAGAACTTTTTAATGGAGTATACAGCCAGTGACTGCAAAGAAGAAAAAGAAGCAGCAACAGAAGGAAGAGCAGCAGCAGGAGGAGGAGGAAGAGCAAGGGGGAGGGGCAAGAGGAGGAGAAAAAGAAGAAGGAGGAGAAGAAGAAGATACATTAGGCAGGGAAACAAACAAAGAATCATGAGTCCCTTCAAAGGGCTGCAGAAAAAGTGACATTCTGCAAAGAGCTTGCTACATGATGGACTATGTTCATTTCCTCATGTGAAATTATAAAAAGAAACACTGATTCAATATTTGCATGAATGTTGGTTCCACATTTTACACTTGCTGAGTTTTCATACTATTTGAGGATAACATTATTGTATCATTATGTTGATAATCTGGAGCAACATGGTATAGGGATTATCCATTTCACCCAGTAAGTTAGTTGTGTATCTTTTACAGGAAGTTGAAGAACCAACCCCAGCATTTTTTCGGGGCTGTTGTGGTTTTCTAGGCAAATTTTATGTTCAGTATTTTGCCAGTGCCCTCTAAACAGTCAGTTCTTGGTACCACTGTCGAAGCCAATGCAAGACAAATTGTCCGCATATGGGATCAAACCCTCGACCCAGGCATAGTTCATCCAGTAAGAATCTTAAAAATGTTTACTTTTTTCTTCTTCAAATTTCATTTACAAAAAAGCTTTATGACAAAGAGCAGAGTGACACAATTGTGAAATTATATGATCTCACTGTGATGTCACCAAAAAAAAAAAAAATCACTCCTAGAAAAAAGGGCAAAAGAAGCTGAAGTATCAGTTGAGATATAAGTCAAAGCTACAGCTGGGTGGGGTACACAGAGCTCAGAAAGGAGTGTCTGTTAAGTAACTAATACACGCAAGAGGATTGACTTGGTACTGAAAGCGTTAACCTGTGATATCGATATTGTGTATGTATGTACGTACGTAAGTATGTGCATAGTCCTATGTACATACGTATGTGTGCAGTACATATGTATATACATATATGTATATGAATATATGTGTATGTAATGTAAATGATGTCTTTTCCTAAGAGCAGTTATGTCTAAATATGCTTTTCCAGTTGTGAAACTGATGAGGTCTATAAATGGGTAATGAAACTTTGACTACACATAAACAAACTGAAATGCAGAGAAGTGGAAAGGCTCTAACCACAGAAAAACTGACATGCTGAAATATAGATCTTCCAAACAAAAAACAAAAACAAAGCAGGAAATGTTGCAGAAAAGAACAAAAGCACCATTTTCATACCAGTACATTGGGCATATGCTGCTAAACCAATATGTTTATAAATTGATTGGCACTTGATATGTCAGCATCACCCAGCCGTCTTTACTTCTCGGGACATGCCCGCTTTAATCTGGGTCAAGCCCGGAGCCAGAGTTGGTTATTTAGAAGGGAAAAAAGGAAAGTATAGGACGATTTGGCATCAGTTAGTTGAGGAACGGTAGAAGAATGTGATTATAATTTCTCTCCTCTCTCTTTCTGGTTTAGGTGATACAAACGCGCTTTGTAATACCAGGTTCAATCCTAACTGCATGCAGTTTGGTAATAGACCATCTTGCGTTGGTTTCGACAGTGGTATCAAGTGTTGACCGTTTAGGAAACAATGGCAAGCTACTGCTTGTCATTTTGCCTTAAAAAAAAAAAAAACTAGCCAAACAATTCTAGGGATGGTTTTGCAACGTTTTTTAAAGGGTTGGCAACTAACTCCAGTTAGTTTAGGTGTTCGCAGTTGTTTCCGTTGATCTGTGAACATGAAGTAATGATATAAAAGGACAAGATGTTTAAAAGAAATGTGCCTTATTAACACTGTAGTTTGACTGTGGTAGATATGTGCTGCTGCTGTTTTTGAAAATATTACATGCATAGGCCTTAATCTCTAATGTTATATTTTAAATTGAGAATCAACATCACAGCACTCGGAACACTCCCATTAAGTGCTCAGTCCCCATCTTCAGCAGCAAGCGAAGAGTTCCAATTCGAATGGTACCAGTAACTGTCTGATTGTATATCCGGCTCATCCTTCCCCTGTGTTGAGTGTCGGCCAGAGCCCCTGGTAACTTCTCATTCTCCTTAGACCGTAATGATCTATCTGCACCTCTGCACTGTTTACTCGCTTCCAAAGGGCCCTCACAATATCTATTTTGTCATACATTAGTTCACCACTAAGTGGTGCAGAGCCAGCCAGTCTACCTGCTCATTTCTCAACACACAGGCACGACCTGGAGAAAATATCCAAAGGATGCTAGCTACCTAGGACCTCTGAAGTGATGCTTCCACTCTGCACGAAGCATGCCTGTTTTAACCTTTCTCAACATGCTCTGTGAGTCAGTTACTATCACAGCATGCGTACACAGCTGATTCTCAAGCCAGCAGAGACTGCCTCCACCCCCATCCTCAAACTAGACGTTGTGATATCATATGAAGGCCTTAATCTCTTCAATGGTGTAACACATAAACTTTCAACAAATGTGTTCCGCCTACACAATCAAGGTTGACTGCATTACACCATGGCCGTCCTGTTACTTAAGACGGCTATGATTGCACCCAGTGCTGTCTTTGTAAATTTAATGTAGTATGGCGCCAATCTCTTCCACGCATGACTGTCTGAGACCACTGTTTAAAAAACTATCAGAACGGACTAAACCTACGCCTATAAAAAAAAAAAAAAACTATAAGAACGGTCTAAACCCACGCCTATAAAATTAATCCATACCGCACCGCGGTTTGTTAAAAAAACGCTCAGTAACGTATGTGTCTACTAGGGCTAATCATTCAGCTAGCGGGCCGAAGGCCAAATTTGGCTCACAGAGGCCTAACATGTGGCCCACGAATGACCTGTCAACTGTATTGTGTTAATGTACTTTCTATGCTGGGGCTCAGGCCACTGGCCCGCGACACTCCCCATTTCCCAGCATTTTGGCCCATGAGTTGACTTGCCAATACGCGCGCGTTGAAAATAATATAATACACTTTTCTGGAAAGACACCGGTTTCAAGGGACGTCATTCTCAAGTGAAAACTCAAGTCTGGTACACAAACTTCTAACAGAACGGAGAAAACAATGTCGAGCCAAGACAACACGGATTGTCGTTTCGTTCAGACTGAAACAGACACGCACTTGCAATATGTGTCGCTGCTTCAAGAAGCATGTAACAGTTCTAATCACCAAAGGAAGTTAGAATCGTTAGCAAGATGTGCTTCATACATAACATCAAGCGACCCGTCTAGCATACTCGACTTATTGCGACATGAGACTTGTGTTCGTGAACTGGTGAAAGTGATCGATTTGGCAATTGTTCCGAGCTTTCAAAAGAAAGAGTACGCATCATACGAAAAAGACGATTTTAAGAAATATCCTGAAGTTACTCGCCATGTGCTGTCAATAATTCATCATATTTTACACATTCTGGCGAACAGTAAGAGGGATGGTGCTAACAGTTTGACAGACAATGCAACTACAGAAATAATATCCTCCATGAACGAAACTGAGCAACAAAAAATTGCTAGGAATATCTCAGCGTTTCTCCCAAAACTGATATTATTGATTTCTGCACACAGCTCCTGCCCTTTATGGTCGTCAGTAGAGTTAGAGACTTTAAGCTCACAAGTGCTTGATAGGCTTTTAGTTTATTTTTCGTGTGAATCTGTTGACGAACTTTTAAGTATAGAAATACATCCATGGGACGCATCAGTAGGTACGGTTAAGGGCAGTAAGGTGATGTTACTGAATGCAGTATTGTCACATTGTTGGAAACCACTGTCGAAAAATACTTGGCATCAGAACCCATTTCTGTCTCATTCATTCTTTTGGATAATACTGCAGATGAAATTGCCTCATTTGAGTGATCATATAGAACAAGTAATGTCCGTAGCCCTGAATTTTCTTGAAGATCACCAAGCAGTGAACAAGATAAGGGGCATCTCTTGTTTACACCATCTAATTAAGAATACTTCATCAGAAGAAATGCGCTGGTTGAATCGGGCAGAAGTTATCTACGAACAGTTGAAAAATCAGATGTACTCGAAAGAAGCAGCAGTTATTGAATTTCTTTTCCCATGCTTGTTTGATGTCTTGAAAATTTTGGAATCACCTCCAGAATTAGACCGCCATCAGTATGTTTTAGACACTCTGCTACGAAACACAGACAGTGAGAATCTTCTCATTCTGCGTAAAATTTATGTGTCTAATCTCACAACTCTGGTTAATCAAGTAGGCATTCACAGTGTCCGCCATTTGAAAACATTAATTAAAGTCATTAGTAATTATCTAGAAGTGGATGACGGACTTGGGGAAGTCAGTGCTCGCCCGCAGACTCTGAAACTGCTGGAATGTATTATCAGAGTGGCATGGCCTAGAGTCCAACATCATGCTGATGTTATTCTAAAAATGTGCTTGAACTTCATTGCTGATGTGATCTGTACAAAACCTGACAGTGACAGCAGTCATGATGTCAGGTATGAACTGACAGCTGAAACTGTCAGGTGCTTGGTTCTTTTGTCAGAGGTGTGCCCTGATGTACTTCCTTGTGTCAAGGCAGGGTTAGAAGCAGGAATTAACAGTGTTGGAAGTGATAATCGGATGTTTGATATCTTAAAAACTCAGTTGGCAAGTATAAGTACAGTTTTAGTGTGAAAACATTGTTGGCACCATTACATCTTTCCGGATGGTAGTCTTATTTTGTACTACAAGGAGGCATGAAAATCATATTATGATAGTGAGTGTGACAGTTAACCCTCTAGTCGTATAAAGCACAAAACCGAGCGCTTCCAGTTTTGTGCCACGGTCCCATATATGTCCCTTTTTAGGCTCGCAATAGAGGCTGGCTTGTTTACAAGGAGCTCTGCTAAGAGCAACTTTTTAAAATGGCTGGTAATGAGCATAGTTGCTAAAAATTGCATTTAGATTGGGTTTCCTTGTGGCAAATGACTCTATTTTTAGAACTGAGAACATCAGAAGTTGGCGTTTCTTACAGTGGTTACTTGCGGCTGGATCATGTGGTCCAGTACGGGTCACCTAAAAAAACTTTATTTTTGAGACATGTAACCCAGTCAGTTGTCTGCCCCATTTATGTTTATTGATTAATCCTGTTACGTTTTATGTGGTTAAATATATTTTTGGTGCAGAAATGTTATGATTTTTATGTGCCTTGTATAAAATATGTCTTTTTTTTTTTAAAGGGCTGTTTTTTTTTTCTCAAGAAAACCTGAAACTCCAAAAATAGGGGTCATTTGCATTGTTTTTTCTGTCTAGGTCACTGGGGTGAAAGGGTTAGACTAAGGACAAAGTTCCTTCTCTCAGTAGTACAAATTCTATATGATAACATGAAAATAATTATTATAAGGGAAGCCTGTTTTTACATAGCCCTATAACAAATGTTGATGAGGGAGGCCATTGCAACCAGAATAGATTCCATACATGATAATGAAAGGAGAGCACATACAAATTGGTAAGGCCAGTAAAGTGTATAAATTGCACAGCGAAATGATTATGTACTTTCATATAATTTAACAATTGGTTGAAAAAAGCTAATGAAAGTAGATCTCTATATTCAACAATAAGAAGGAGACAAACACTGCTCTTTGGCAACGCAATGAGAAGAGAGGCATTGGAAAACATTGTGACAGCTGGAAAGATCAGTGGAAAGAGGGGTAGAGGCAGACAAAGAGAGATGACACTAGATGGGCTGAAACGATGGCATGGAGGAATATCAAGAGAGCTGTTCCAGGCAACCAGGGATCGTGATCTGTGGAGATGCATATGCTAACTGGCTAGGCACAGAATGATGATGAAACTAATTTGTTTCTTTTAATATAAATTAACATCAGGTGAGCAAAAGTAGTCAGATATATAACTGGGAGGATCAAATTAAAAGATGGAATAACAGCATTCTGAGATAATATACAATCAAGAGGGTGTTAGAGAGGGTTGCAGCCAATCTTTATTGAGGACATAGCACCTGCTTGATTTGATTTAAAGAAAACAAATGTTTATTATTTGAGTGCATACAATTTATAGTGTTGAAAATTAAAATTTTAATGTTCTTTACTTGTTAAAATGTTCCATTATATTCCATGTTCGGATTCCTGGGCCCTATTTTGGGTAAAATAGACCCACTGCCTTCTTAATAAGCATGTCTTAAGAAGGTGACCAATTAAGGGTTTGCTGAAATTCTATGTGTGTAGCTGAAAGGCACAGATATCACAGCCTAGTTGTCAACCACAGCAAAACGTGCCAGCCGCCTTTTTGAAGGTGAAAGAGAAGAGAAGAAAAAGGATATGTTCCTATATCTAATTGATCAGGTTGGCTGATGTATTTACTTGTGTCATGCTGTTTGAAGATATAACCTAGGTGAACTTTGGGAAATTATTAATCTACTGTATACATTTCTGTACACTGCAAGGAGATTAAAAATGATGTACGTATAAGATCTGTAACCATAGACAACATCTCTATCAACACTAGCTTATAGTTTTCTGTTTTAAATATGGTACATATTGTTTCATTATAAAACTTCATTCAGTGTTAAGTCAGAATTCTAGTTACTTTTTAAGCTTTGCTAAAAATGTGGGAAAGGAAAATGTTAATTGTTTTTGTGTGCTGCAAAGTTAGTTGCCTATCCTTTACAGGACTTGCAAACCTACCCCAGCCTTTGTTAATTGTATTAGTTTTACTAGACAGTGTGAGCATTTCATAGTTTGTCAATATTTTCATAATGGTTGGCATTCCATGCTATTGTCAAAATCAGCACAAAGCATTCTGCTGCCATTTTATTTGCAGCTGAATCGAACCTGGTATTTTAGGGTTACAAACTGTTCACAGTCCCTAAGCCATTAACGCCGGCTATTCAGAAACCTGAAATGTATGTCAGCATGGCAAACACAAGCAGAGGGTTGTGAGGAAACAGGTCTTTTAACTAGAGACATTTTTCTGTTAGGGCCATGTTCACATCTACCAGATGTCAACTCTGGCAGAAAGCTCTGGTTGTTCATCCACTTCTGGACTTCTATCTTGTTCCAGAACCTGAACTTTATGTGCACATCCGTTTTACAGATTTGGCTTACATGTATGCACACCTTTAGTTTCTTGTCTCTCAGACAGATATACTCCAACTTTGTAGGAAATATACCTGATTAATAGATTGTTATGACATGCTTCTTGGAAAGAAAAAAGGGCGAAGGGGTAGTGTGTCTGTTTTTTTCCACAATCAGAACCCACACTGGTAGAATAGAATATATGATTCAGTGTGTTTGTAGAAGAAAGGTTTATCAGATATTCAGTTGTGTGAAATGTTTTGATCCATCTATATCCTCTTATGTCATTGATGACACATAAGGCATTCACCGGTGATCTCTGTTGTTGCCTGCTGATACTTCTATGTACATGTCATCTTCTCAAAGTACGCCCAGTGTGGCGTTGGTAGTCATGTCTCTCCACAACCTTCTGTCTCATGTATTTTCAGTCAGTTCTGACACAGATGATCTTTCATCCTTTGATTTCAGACTGTCCAGAATCTTCTCTCTCAGGTTCCCTATGCCTCTTGTCTGTCAGAGAATGTAGATTGTCTCCTCCTTATGTGGGCTGTGAGTTCTCTTCTATGGTATCACATGTCAGTTTACATTCCTTCATTTCTGTTTCTACAGTCGTCGTCCAGGTTTCCTCACGTTGTCCACAGTGGATACAGTAAGATATTTTTTGACATTTGTGAGACCAAAGTGAAATAGTGAACATTGACAGCTCATGACAGTTGGTGGTAGAATGTTGGACAAAGGTCCATCAAATTAGGTGACAGCCTAATTAGTTGTGTGTGAAAGATGTGGATGCACTGATATATCTTTTAAGATGTGTGCAGCTAAAGTTAACGTAAAGAAAGGATTGGCTTAATTGCACCAGGTTATCCCATAGAGCGTGGGCCGTCTCTGCAGAATGGCTAGCCACCTGCTGATAGTGTCAAACAAAGCTTGAAATCCATAACTGCAGCAAAGATCTGCAGGATTTCCATAATAATTGCACTGGTAAACTGAACAATGCATTCATGAAGTGAACCCACAGTCTTCAAAGCATGAGGCAAATAGCTTGATCATTTTGTCTCAGAGATTAGATCGAGTTTACTGGAGCTTTCTCCGCAAAACACCTGGCCACCTACCTAGAGCCTTGCATAAGGCATGAACTCCTAGCTTTATTGTTGATCCCAGGGATGTGCACACAAATTGCACTCTTGAACTGAACAACGCAGTCTGAAACTGAACCAGCCATCTTCAAAGCATGACAAACAGTGTAAACACCTAGCCATAAATGTAATTCTATATATTTTTTTATACACATACATTTTTGGGGATAACAAATAAGGGCCAAGAAAACTATTTGAAAAATACAATCTTTAATAAAAATGTTCAGATGCCACCATAGAAGTGGAATTTGACATACACCTGACATACTGACATACACCTTGTACTTTTTGTATTTGACCATTTATGGGAAGCCATTCAAACAGAAATCCATTGTTGACGAGTTTAGTACAAGTATTTTGAAACAGAATGTTTGGTAGGTAGGTGAGGCCTGTCAGTGGACAAATCCACAAATCCAGCATTGACTCTACAGTTGGTGCCTGTGAACAGGAGAGAAGTAACTGTTTACAGGACATGCCAAATGTGGAACCCCTCGGGTTGCGGAGAGAAAAAGCCACTTTAGAAATTTATGAAAGATGCATTAGGAAAAATCGTAACCATCCTAATAGACATCTTATAGAAAACTGGGAATCCAAACAAAGAATAAAGCACAAATCGGTTTTACACTGTGTTAATGAAATTCAGAACAGATACCACCTCCCAGAAAGACGTCAAGGAATTCAGAATGTTGCAAGAAACCTACCACCACATGCTCGCTTTAAAGCTCCAGAAGTCCGAACTAAATTGGTAGGCGAGGAAACCAAACAGTCCGACCCAATCGCTCTTATGAACTCATCACTAAAGACCGTTGATTCTTACCCCCAAGAATGGATACATGTCTATACTGATGGATCAGCATTTAAAGCTACCATTAAAGCAGGTTACGGAATCTACATAGGTTATCCCGATGGATCTGTTAAAGAGATTTTGGATGCATGCGGGGAATTCTGTTCAAACTATGAAGCTGAAATAATTGCACTGGAAACAGCAGTATACCACCTAAAGACTGTAATGGATGTTTACCCTTCAAAGGTCCAAAATATTGTCATCTTCACAGATTCAATGTCTGCCCTTCAAGCTCTGGAGGGCAGTGAACGCTGCAGAACTGACATAGCCAAGATAATCCTGGATGCTGATCAGCTTATTACCTCATACAACATCAGAATAGTGATGCAGTGGATTCCAGGTAACTCCGGCACACCAGGTAATGACAGAGCTGACAGATTGGCAAAGAAAGGAGCAACACAAGAACAACCACCTACAGCGACAACCCTCCAGACAGCAAAAACACTGATAAGAGCTATAAACAAAGAGACTTGGTTGAACTGATGGGCCATGGGAGACACTGGAAGAGAGGTTTATAGACATATGTCTGGCCCTGATCCTAATGACAGCATTAACCATCTAACAAGAAGGGACCAGGCCACCATATTCAGACTTAGAACGCAACATACTCCACTCAATGGA